GGTAGGGTAGGGTAGGATTAGGGTTATCAGAGAAATGGTTATTTTTTCCCGATCCTCAGGCTTGCAAATGTAAAGAACAGGAATAGGGAGTTCTGGGGAACAAAATCCGGAAGTAGTACATGTAGGTGACAAATTACAAATGTATGTCATCATAAATACAGCCTACATGTACCATACATGTACATTTTTTCACGCTAAGATTCAGGGGCAACATTTTGATTACCGAATAATTTTGAAACAAATGAACACATATTCTTATTGGCTAGAAGTCTATGAAAAAAAGCATTTTGAGCTGAGTTCAAATGACACTCCATTGTGATGTTTCTGGTTAGAGTTCTTGTTAAAATTGATATTTTCAATACTGCAAATCTCTAAAATTGTACTTACTCTACTTACTTCCTGTAATTCATTGCCTTCTAGAGTTTCGACCAATCACAGAAATTGATATTTTCAATACTGCAAATTCCCTACTCTAAGCAGTTAGGTTCCAATAATTCACTGGCTTCTGAAATTTCGGCCAATCATGGAAATTTGTGTTTTCAATACTGCAAATTCCCTACTCTAAGCAATCAGGTTCCTGTAATTCACTGGCTTCTAGAAATTCGACCAATCACGGAAATCCACTTTTTCAATTCCACAAAAACTCTAAAATTTCTCTGTATGTTGCATTACCTAATCAGAACTTTGTAAATTTAAAATGGTGAAAAATAGAAATGAACATGTTGCTAGTTTATTCTCTGTGAACAAACTTACTGACAATCAAAAGAAAGCACTTAGTGCTTGTATCTGAGGAAAATGAGGTTCGGGTTTGTGGGCCGGTTATGAATGGCTGGCTTTACCGAAGCTGTGCGATTTAAACGATGATCAGAATATTGTGTGGTAATATTCGTGATAGCGTACACATTGCAGAATGGAAATTCATTATAATCAAAGGTGCAGCATGAATCTTTGGCATTGATTGAAGTCGATTAGCACTTTTCCAAAGGTGAAACAAGTACTGAAATAGTTTTAATGATGACATTAAACAGATGATATGTATTTTACTCATTTACCAGGGTTTTTGAAACCAAATCATCATCCAACTCAGGAACTAATCAGCAACGGCCTTACAGTTAGATTACTTTTTAAATACCCTAGGAAATTTGTTCCATCTCAAATACAGGAAACGAGTAAGTTTGTTTTGAAGAGAATTATGCAACATGCAAACATTGGTAATACATTTATGCTAACTATTTAACATTGCATTAGATGTGTACATGTACATGTACTTCTGATAACAAGAAAATATGACATATTACCATATAATTGGTGTTCCTGTCAGGTGCTTAATTATCTTAATTACATTTTCTCAGTCAGGTACCCCAGTTGCTCATTGAAAACTCAAAGAAACATTCTTTTTAATTTCATGCATTTTCTATCTAATACACCTGATTAAAGGTGTTTTTTGAGATGACAAGCCATTGAAAACTTCCCAAAACTTCTTTTCTTTTACATGTAAAGCTAAAAAATAGTCTGCACAATCAGTTAAAAACAGGCCCAACTAGGATTTTTTGGACAAATACACACATACTAAATGTTAATTGAACAAAGTTAAAAGTCCTCTAGTATTAACCTGGCCAAAAATCAAATCTGAAAAGAGGAACCTAATTATAGGAAACAACAGGAGTCTGATGTGTATCATTGACTGATTTTAATGAAGAATAATTTACATCGAATATTGATTTTGTAATATAATCTATCTCTGATTGTCAAACAGAGAACCCTGCATTCAATTCAGTGACTTGACAACACTCTAGATGTTGAAAACTATATCTAAGAAAGTGTTCAGTGACTATTCTTGACACAGATATCTTGTGAATTCTGCAACTGTGTAATTATAATGTATTAGGCTTGAATTGTTACTTCGCATGTTAAAGGCTTTAACAAAATTGTGCAAGCAATGCAACTTTAAGAAGCTGTAAATTTAGAAAGATGGTGATAATATTAGGAGCACAATTTTGTGTTTTGTTTTGATTATGTTTACTCTTTATTGAGCAAGTATACCACAAATCTTTTAAATTGTTGCTGCTAAAAATGCTCATACATGTATGACAAATGTACAAGATGTGAAAAAAAAAAATCCAGTGTTCCATGAATTATGGGATGTTCACTCCTCATTAACATAATTTTCACAAAATATTGTCTATATCGAATTGTATCCAACTATTTATTATATTTTAGTCAGGAAACGCAACAATTTTAAGAGCTACATACAGAACCAATGTAATACAGTATACCTGCAATGTGTTTAAAACAAATTTTTAACTTTTCACTTTACTTTCACTATCGGTACTGTTTTTTTCTATTTGTTTATTGTGAAAGCCGCAGATACATGTACATTGTAGATCTGACCAATTCTTATATGTACAAGGAGTCATCCTATATGTAAAAAGGACATCATGCTGTATGTGTCACAATATGATGCCTGTATTGGTTGAATAATTTACTTTACTGGTGCATAACACAATCTCCTTTATTGGAGATGGTCAGATGTATGTGAATGGAATTCAAACGATCACACAACTATAACATCATGTTTTAATCCGATGAATATAATCCTCATTCACGTTTGATCACACATACAATGTACACCATATTAGCACCAGTATAACATGGAGTAAAATATGCCTAGCCCCCCATGTAATAAAAATAAAAACAGGTACTGTAAACACATCAATTATACACTGGGTTTTAATTTCGCTATAATTGAATCCATGTGAACATGTAAAGTAACAATAGAACTCATTGTTTCTCTGCCACGTCTGTGAACATAAAGCCCAGGAAAATTGCTCAAAGCATCAAAATAGTTAAATTAGAAGCCCGTAAAATTAAAAGGTTTTACAGTTTTACTTTTAATTATTAATAGCTTTTTTTTCGTCCTTCAATCATTCAACCTCATCTAGTTGGTCACCAGTTAAACTTAAAGATCATGTTTTCTTTGTTGGAGGTTCGCAATCCATTTCAAAGTCACAACAAATTGTCAACATGCACAATGGTATATGTACATGTATGTCTATATAGTTAACATGATATACATAATGTCCATGTACAATTAATGCAATTTAATGCAATTAGATAGGCTTTTAGAACATGTACATAAAATAAGATGACAAAATATTGAAATGCACCACACAGAAATCCCAACCGACTCAAGCTTGGTTGAATAATGGTTGTGAATCCATCTGCTAGAAATATACTGTACATACTTGTACACATGTCAAATCTGTACTTGAACTGAGTCCTCAATTACAGAACACTATAAAAACATGAGCACATGTTAAAAGTGTGAAGTTGTAGAAGAAGTCACACTGCATTTGAACCTGTATTCATGGCAGGTGTCACACACAATATTGGATTAAATCTAAACTCGCACTGCTAAGAAAATTTGCACTAATTTAGAATTTGTTAAACAAATGGTGAGAATTGATAGCGGTAGTTTGGGATTTGGATTCTTGGCAATGAAACAGTGGGAATTTCAAATATCGCCAACAAATTGATGAGAATTTATACAATGTTGTAGTGAAAGTAGCATTGAGAATTTGAAGTCACACGACTGCATGGCAAGAATTATGTAGTATCGTTATTAATACTAGAAGCAAATACATGCATAGTATACATGTATATAGTGAAATTCACAACAAAATGGCTGCAAGTCATTCATTTTTAACTGAATCCCTATTTTTCTGTGCTACATTTTTGTACATTGTACATGTACACACAGTACTTGTGCATACAACCCACTTCATGCTAGTCATTTGGGATTGCATGCAGTCAAACCTCTGCTAGTGACCACCTGCCATAGTGACAACATAATTTTCATGTAGAGTGATCTGTATACACAGGTCATCTACATCTATGTGACAAATGGCAACCCTCTTGGGTTTGGTCAATGCATCTGCACAGGTGTACATGTAGGAAGCAAAATGATGACAGATGAGTGGAAGTTTAGTATTCTACACTAGTCTCTACACTGGCATTTTCAATTCAATCACGGCAAACAAGCAAATTTTTATCTCTAAATATCTGTTGAAAAATGAAGTGCAAAATTATTCTCATACATGTATTTTCATCAACTAATTTAATTAATAAACTATCATATGAAACACCACTTGTCAATAAAGAACATTTTCTGTCAGTACCTTGGGTGGTTGCTATACAATTTTGTACATACATGCATATATGTCATCTGAAGGCCATGCTCATTTCTATGCTAAATATTCCATTTCTTTTTCCCCAAAGGTTTCTCAATGTCATCATGACACTCAAGGTCAGGTTATTTTTAGATGTATATGTATAGAGATGCTAGCAGCATCAAGAGACTCATCATCAAGATTTATAAGTGAATTAGAGGAGGTGTGTAAATGATTGTGAAAGGAAAATAATGATTAGTGATAAATTATACCATTTTAAGTTGTGCTTTTGTAATGATATGGGTCCCTATCTTCCAAAAGGTTATAAAATGTAGAAAATCAAAGAAAGCTTAGAAAGAACTCCCATGTGCTGAGAGTATTGGAGACACATTAAATATAATTCGAAATTACTTAGCTGAAAACTA